TACTATATTTGGGCAAAAATGGCCGCTCCCAGACTCAGCGATCACGACGAAAATTATTGTTTGTTTGTTTTTTTACTGATTAACGCTAAATTCATCACCGCAAATGTATTAGTTTTAGGTATAAATAATGATCCATTGATTATTCCTTGCTGACCAGACTTTTCCTTTGAACATTAACAAACTAGTTTCCTCTGGGATTCTTCTGAAGCTACAGTTCTCACCTGATCATCCAGCAGGGTGTAGAGCTGCAGCTCTCCGGTAGCAGTGACCATGCCCAGTACGGGCCGTTCGGACACGGGGACATGGCACCTGACGACATGAAAAACAATTAACATGGTTGGGAAGGAAAACATCTAGATCCACTCTGGTGAAAACCAAGTTCTTACCATTTCAGATCTAAAATGGCTGCTGTGTCTAGGCGCTGCAGCTCGGTAAGAGGAGGGATCATCGAATCCTCACGCCGAAATTCAAAAAGGTACAAACGCCCGGTCCGCCTGTGAGGAGCATCCTCACTTTCTCCCTGCAGCATGAATGCAATAAAAACATGCAGAAGAGATTAACATTAAACTACTGTCCACTGCTTTATCAGTCACAACTTTAGATAAATACAATTAAAAGATAAAGGTGGCAGGCAAGGTTAGACACTGACATGGGTTTCACTACATGAGTTGCAGTTATTTTAGTTGTTTTACAACCACACAGAGCAATTCATAGTGATGTTATGATACTAGCGCGTTTGGAGTAGTGGAAGGGGCGTTTCCACAAAGCGCGTATCGAGGCTGGTTTCATGTAGGGGAGGAGCCGATGTCGACGGCGCCTGAAGTCTTGCTGCCGCCACAAAATGTGACCGCTTCAGGAAGTGGTTCAGATCGCCTGCGAACTTTGACAGGCAGTTAAAAGTCTCAGTCCAGACTTGGGAGTCTGCAGGAGAGTTGCGGTCAGTTGAGTGTTTTGAAATACTCCAAGTATAGATTGGTTGTTTTTCCAACCAATCCTGTTGGTTAAAACTATTTTGGTTAGATTAAACAATATAATGATCAGAAACTGATCAATCCATTGGTTTTGGTTGAGTAACCGTAATTTTCGGAATATAAGCGGCAACTTTTTTCCCCATTTTTTGACCTTGCGGCTTATATAAAAATGCGGCTTACCTATAGACTTTTACAGCTAACGGCCACTAGATCCTAAATCTATGGATTTTACCATCCACCATGTTGACGTCACATTTGCTTCAACACACAAGTACGGTAGCCGGGCGCGCGGGAATGCGGAGGTCCTCCGGAAGCAGACTTCTACCGCGAATGGTACGAGACAGAACGACAGCGAGAAAGATGGACATTAAACATAAAAAACCTGTGTCTTATAGTCCGGTGAGGCTTGTATATGTACAAATCATGCAATTTAGCTTCTGCGGCTTATATTCAGGTGCGGCTAATAGTCTGAAAATTTCGGTTATAGCATTAAGTAGAAATTAAATACCATGAAAACAGTAGCAGTGACAATGGTGTCAGCTGTAGGAGTGTGCTGATACTACAAAAAAATTAATTCTAAATAAGTATTTTTTTCTTAAAAAAGTGAATTTTTCATTGAATTGAGGAAGTAAGTGAGACACTTTGCTGATGGAGCAAGACAATTTACATTTAAAATAAGAAAAACAATTGAATTGTCTTATTTCAAGTGCATATTATCTAATTATCTGATTCTAGGAGTAAAACTACTCATTCTACTGTCACTCCATCCATCATTCCATCATCTTAATTACCTACTCAAATTAAGGGTATATAAACTTAATTTAAGGAAATTTTTACTTATTTCTAGATTGTCTTTGAAGTGCATCAATCAATGGGTTGTCGGTTCAATCCCCGGGCTTGGTTTTTGAAAGTTGCTATATTAGTTAAGTATTTTGGTCAAAGTGACCAATTTGTATTGGTTTGCCTTTTTACCACCAGTGTAGATTGGGCAAAAACACTATCAAATTAGATTGGTTGGACACAGATCTTCCAAACAGATTAAAAAAAAAAAACATTTCATTTTGTTCATCATTGCACACTTTCACTGTCTTCTTGAGCTTTTGTCACTGAAATGATAGAAAACAAGCAAACCTTAAAAGATTCATTGTTTCTAAGACAATTTACACTAAACAAAACTTTACAAAATAATTTGATTATATACATCAATCACGAACATTTTCAAAGGGACTAAAAAAAAAAAAAAACATAAATTCCTTGAAGCAATTTGGCCAAAGGGTTCAATGAGTTTTCATCTCACCATCACTGCTAATTTACATGTAGGGCAAACAGTTATGCTTGAAAATGGCTTATAGATTTAACATCTGTTTTGCCAAACAGAAGAAAGAGAGAGGAAATATCCATGAGATGTTCAAAGTTTGTTTGTCCCTAACAAACTGTTTGTTTTTGATTCTTCTTTTTTTAATCAAAATTCTTAGACAAAAATCAAACAGCTTTTGGAGATGCACTGATCAATTTTTTCTGATCCCATATGAAACAAGGGCTGAAGATATTGGTCGATGTCTAATAATGATCCGATACTACTGTTGGATGGATTAACCTTTATGTTTTACATAAACATTATTAGAAAAAGGTAACTAATAAAAACATAAACCTTCAGTAACTGCTGTGCTGCTCTGTGCAATTATGTCATTGTGTCTTTAAACTCAAAGTCAATAGATTGCTGTAACTGTTGCTTTAAATGATATCAATAAAATTAGAAATTACTGGATCAGCATCATCCAACTGATTAGTCAAAAGCTATATTAATAACACGGTTAATTATGCATAAGTAGACTGACTCCATACCAATCAGTGGACATCTAAAGATAACTGTTAGCATATTTTTATTGAGTGGTATCAGGGTATAAGAGGCTGCTTGCAATTGTGCAACTCTTTTTTTTCTTTTAAAATATCCAATCTATGATTAACCTGCAAAACTTTCAGACACAGATAAAAGTGAATGGCACTGGTTAGTGTTGGGGTGTATTCCTTTGCGATGAAGGCGTTTTCTCACCGCTTTCTGCAGCTGGTAGGTCCCACATGCTAGGATGTCGTAGCTGGAGGAGAGCGGACACCACTCCACCGTATCCGCACTCAGCTCCGTGTCAAACACCTGCAGCGTGCGGGTCCTCGACTTCCAAGCCATGGCCACCTGGTCTGCATAACGTTAGCGTGTTGGTCCAGCTGAAGCTAAACATAAATAGCAACAAAAACAACCGGAATCAGGATTATTTAGTTATATATCCATACCTAGCTAACTCCCGCTAGGCTAACTAAGCCACAAAACACCATTGCCCCAGGCAGGCTAAGCCTGCTTAGAGGATAAGTTCTAAAGTAAGGTGGAGTATGGACATGGAGAAGGTTTTAATTTATGTATCTTCTCAATTAATCCAACAATATTTAGCTAAAAAAAACGGCTGCAAGAAAACTCACATGCACGCTCACCAAAGCAGATTACACGCAGGGCGCGCTTACGTCATACAGACACGTAGTGATGCATTCAGGTACCACACGTAAAACACACCGGTGTGGCAGGCAGGCTAAAATAAACATTTCAGATGTCTTAAATATAATTCTTACTAATACAAAACTAAGGTTATGTTTCCCATTCATGTGTATTGGGCTTTTTCTTTCAAATATCTAAAATAACATTCTTCCTATCAAAAACTGAATTCTGAGGAGGCGGAACTCTTAAGATGTCTATAATACTGTTACTAATTCAATTAAATTAAATCACTACTCATGACAATTTCAGATATAAAAAAAATTAACATTCTAGATATGGAAGAAATGGATTTGAGGCATCTGAAATATATATTTGGTCAAGCTGATAAATGTCAAAACGGCCAATTAAAATGTGTAAAGATTTCTAGGTATCTGAAAGTGTATTCCAGTATGCTGCAGTTTTATTTTTCACATCCTGGAATTGTATTTGTATTTGCTCATTGGGCCTCCTGTTCGCCACAAGAACTGCATGATATCCTGTGAACATTTATTTTGGAAGCTATAGATGAAGCACAATAAAGCTTGAACCCCTTGCAGCTTGCAACAGGTTGGCAGAATATGCATTCAGCCTGGTACCACTCCTCAGCTAAAAAGGGATATGCACCAGGATCCTGTTTGTGTATTTCAGTACAGCTTTCTTCAACTTAGACATTTGCTCATATATAACAGCAGAGAGGATCATTGGGGCTCCTCTTCCCTCCATTAAAGACATTTCATCCCAGCTCTGCGTGTCCCGAGCCTGTAACATCACCAGTGAGCCCTCACACCCCAACCATGGACCGTTCTCCCTGCTGCCCTTTGGGAAGAGGCTTTGCAGCATTCGATGCAGCACCAGCAGATTCTGCAACAGCTTCTTCCCCACTGCTGTAGACAGCTGAACTGTTGAGAAAACTCTTAATCAAGTCACAGACTCCGCATCAAATTGGTAACACCAGTCCAAAATTCTGCATATTTGCACCATACATATTAATGCTCTGAACTCCAATATCAATGTGTTCTATGCATCATGCTTTTCCCCCCCACACTGTTTACATTTGATCACTGCTGCACTTTATGGAAGGAAATCTCATGGAAGCTGTACAAAATGTGTGTATACACTCTGTGCATACACATGTTGTATACACTCTGTCGTGTTGTATACACAGAGTGTATACAACACGACAATAAAAGTTGTCTAAGTCTAAGTCATATATACATGGGTGGTTCTAGATAGGGGCTAACAGGGGCCAGTGCCCCTCGAGAACTGGTCCTGGCCCCTGTTCTGGTCCCTGTACTCAAAACACACAGAACATTTTTCTGCTTTTGGCAAGTAGTGCACTAATAGACCAATTTCTAGAAGTAAATGTATTTTCTCTCGAGTTAAGGACGAAAGACAATTTGGAGATGGACTAAGATGATGTGTAAAATAAGAAATCAAAAATACTCACTTCTTTGGCAGAGGAATGCACTTTTTAAAGAAATGTTTTACTTTTTTTAGGTCAGTTTTTTTTTTCTTTTGTTCTTTGCCACTTTGAAGAGCAACAGACCCCATCTTGCCCTCTGGTAAATTTTGTCTAGAACTGGCACAATATATATATATATATATTATATATATATATATATATATATATAGCCTCATTTATTGCTATTTTTTTTATTTTTCTGCCTGGGTGGTAAAAAAAACTACATGGACCAAAGAAACATTTTCACAAACCAATACCTTAAATATTGTTATTCACCCAAACTGACCAATAAGGCTGCGTCTGACGTCAGGATGGGCTACGTCCTAAATGGTCACGTGACATTTTGGCTAATGCCATTTTTCTTTTTTTTCCCCTGCTAATGTTGTCGCTGAAGGAACATCAGCAGGTTGCAGCTTTGCTCTATAACACCATGGATTTTAACGTGAAGAAGCTAGCCACCGGCGCGGGACTGTTCTTCACGCGCGCTGTCCAGGTATTTAAACACCGCGGCGGTTTGGCTCGCGCTCCCTTTCACTTTGCCTCCAGCTGAGTCTGACTCTGCAGTTTATTTCCACACTGAAAATGAAACACTGTCACTGAATGAAGGACGTGTTTTTAATATTCAACTTTAGAAATGCTCAGTTGTAGGTGGAAGGAGCAGGTTTCACCTCTCATGTTATCCAGCTGTATGTTAGCTAACCTTTACTAATTCACCAGGGGGTGGCTTTTATTATTAACTTATATTAATTTGGAAGGGACAGTGAGATAAACGGGTACATATTAGCACCAGCCATACATCGCGTTATACCGGGGATATTTATTGAAACCTCGAGCATAAATCTGTTTTTTTATCTTTGGTTTTCTGACAGGATGTTTGTTTGTGTCCCGTTTCAGTTCACTGAGGAGAAACTGGGCCAGGCGGAAAGGACTGAGCTGGATGCTCACTTTGAAAACCTAATGAGCCGCGCTGACTGCACCAAAAACTGGACAGAGAAGATCTACAAACAGACTGAGTACCTGCTGCAGCCCAACCCAAGTATGATTACTGTGTGGTAGAAGTGTTATTACAGCAGGCTTACTGTGAGACATGTTTACTCCAAAGCCTGGTCAGAGGAGGACCAGACACAGCCTCTGACCTTTTGCTATTCTCATTGCTAAACAAAGACTTTTATAGAGTCCAAATAAAAATTGGCACCAGTTTGCACATTTTTTAGGGATGCAAATCTTAGCTCCTATTTTTTTTTTAGTTTTTCAGGACATAAACAAAACCATCTTCAAGCTAATCACAAGTGTACATAAACATTTAGCAGATCTTTCACTCATCCCCCAAAATCTATGTCAGAATATGCATCTAAAAAGAAAAATAAGCCGTTAAATATCATTCAATATGTTTATGATAATCAAACATGTCTGCCTAAATCAAGGTGGCGATAATACACACTATATAGCACACATGTCAAAGTCAAGGCCCGCAATCTGGCCCTCCAATTGTTTATCCATGGCCCCCTGGATAAGCCCATGCAAAGTGGGCGTGATTTTGAGGGCATGACGACAAAGCTGCACGATTGGAGAAAACACAACAAGAAAGATGGCAAAAACTATTGAAAAGTTGTCGTTTGGAATCAGCTTAGGAAGGATTAGACTTGGGGTTTTCGTTGAAACCTGAGCAGGAAGAGGCTCTACGCTCATTAATTTTAAAGAAGGACGTATTCGCCGTTTTGCCAACAGGCTTTTTGTTTACACTCCCCCACCAGCTTCCTGTCGCGCTTCCTACGTCACAGTCAGTTGCTCATTGGTCAGAGCGTTGGCCAATAGGCACAGACAGAGTTTGATAAACTACGGGTTGTTCTCATTAACAATCTTCCAATGTCTGATTCATCGGGGCCAGACTAAATTACACATTTAATCTCACATTTAGTCTGGATTATCAGGCTACCCCTGGATGATATTTGATAACCATTAGAACTGGCCCACAGGCCACTTGTTCACCTGTGACTTGGCTACCATGGCTTGTTGTGGGGAATGTAGTGTTGGTGCGATTGTGTTGCACATGCCAACCTTTTACTTTAATGTTTTTGTTGTGCTTTGTATGTTTGGATTGTTTTGTTTTTTTCTTTTCACCCTTTAACAATCCAAGCTGGGCTAAAAGTCGGTTGTGTGACGAGACGGAGTGCACTAACTGCGCAACGCAACTGCTGTGCATTGTCAGCAGAGGCTGATTGAAGCCAAAATAAAAGGAGCCTGGATGGAGGGAGGGGCGGAGCTGATCCTGCGGTGATAAAGACGGACACGCTGCTGAGCGAGGGGCAGGTGGGATCCATACGATACCCGTGCGCTACTTACAGGCGTGGACGTCTGCCCTGACTGTGCCATCTGTTCACCTCCCGGTATTCTGTGCCTGGCGTGCAGATCCCACCTGCCCCTCGCTTGGCAGCGTGTCCGCCTCTATCACCTGCAGGATAAGCTGCCCTCTCCTTCCATCCAGGCTCCTTTTATTTTGGCTTCAATCAGCCTCTACTGACACCTGCAGGCAGCATTTGCGCAGCGCGGTTAGTGCGCTCCGCCCCCTTAGACAACCCTCTTCAGCCCAGTGAGCTTCGATTGTTATATGCCGATATTTTAAAACTCATGTAGCCGATAACCGATACCGATACCGATGTTAAAGCTGGACAAAAATACGTAGTCATTGAAAATAGCAGTTTTGTTATCCATTTCTGACACTTTGAAAAATAATATACTCAAATATATTTTCATATGCTGATATCAAATAGATTTTTAAAAACGCGGTATCGATCTATTTTACTTTCAAAATCTCGTGAAATTTCATCGTTTTGTTACAAACTCTCGTGATATTTTGCAAATTCTTGTGAGATTTTGTTAGTAAAATAGATCTATACCACGTCAATATATATCAACATATAAAAATATGGCAAAATTTCGATGACTTATAGCAATATTTCATTAGTAAAAGAGATTGATATGGTGTTTTTAAATGGCAATATATCAATATATTTTCCCTCGTCTTTAGAAGTTTTTAAGTCTGTAAAAAAAGAAGTTTTTGAGGAAGAAGAAGTAGTATTTTATTTTTATTTTTTTTTAGACTTTAGAAACTCAGAAGCTGATCAAATATCGGGTTAAATATCGGTGGGGTGGCCGATGTCCGATATTCAGTTTTAAGGCCGATACAGGCCGATACCGATAGGGGGCCGATTATATCGTGCATCCCTAGGTGGGAAATCAAAAAACAAAACAATCCAAACATAATTTCTAATGCATGCACTTTCATTTATGTTTTTATCTTAATAAGTTTATTAATATAATAAAAGTTTTTGTTAGGTCCTGGTTCAATAGGCTTTGTTCATTTTAATATGCTTTAATGAACATTTAACCAGTCCGGCCCTCGGCTTGTAGCAAATTAGTTTTTTTGGACCTCTGTGTATTTGACTTTGACATCCCTGCTATACAGGTTTGTGTTTATACCTATAAATTTTGTTTTTAAACATTTTATATAAATAAGGTGCCAATGGGTAAATAAATGTTTAAATTCTGCTGTTTGCTTTTTTACACTCGAGGTGTAAAAAAGAGACTGTTTTGATCTAGCTGTATAGCATGATAAAAAGACAGAGAGCTCTAACCTGTCCTTCTTTTGACTCTGCATGCCACAGTCGATCATACTGGTGAGTATCCTGCCTCCCGATTCCCCTGTGCTGCTCTGCTGTGGAAACCTTCATGCTTTGCATCATTAGCGCAGAGGAGTAATTCGATCCGAGTTAAAATGGTCACATGTTTTTCATGCTGAAATTAAGGACCCATTATTTTTCTTGGTGAAAAAGAGCAACAGAGTGACTTGAAACTTTACTGCTTAAGGGAAGTAGAGAAATGATTGGTGTTTGATGCAGCTAATTAGGCTAAATGCTAATGTTAGAGCGTGCCAAACCCCAGTTCTCTGTGTTTCTGCTGTCAAAGCTTTAGGGGTAGGTTCCAGCACCCGTTTACATTCACCAGGAGGGTAGCTGCCCATTAAAAAACACCTTTGGAGTTTAGCTTTTCATTGCTCCAAATTTAGTCTGGTTTCTGATAGTTTGCTGCAGACTAGAGGAGCATCTGATCCAAACTTTGAAGGCAATCATTATTTGTTTGGTAATGCATCTGTTTGCAGGAGTTCTAAGATGATATAATATCTGTTGTAAAATTGTCTCCATGCGCTACGATTCTTCACCAAAGTGCAGAAAACACCGAAGATGAAGCTTGTTAATTACAAGGAAACCCTGTTAATTTACAGAACCAGTTAAGAACTGGATCCAGCTCCTTTTCAGAACTCCAAACCCTTTTGTGGAGGAGCTCCTGGGGCCGAGTTTCCATCTCATCTATTTTCTCTACTTCTGACTTGTTGGGTCATTCATTATTTGTGTCCATTGCTAGTTCTTCCTCCTCTTTTTTTCCATGTTCTTGCTGCCAATTTGATTAAATAAGATAAATGATTGAGTCAGATCAGACTGCAAACACCCAAGTCCTTCGGTGACTCTTATTTGCTTTTTTTAAAGAGAGCAATCTTTGCATTGTTTGGAGGTTGGCACAACGTAGATATTGTGATTTAATCACAAAAAAAACAGTTTAAAGGTTTGGTTTGTGACTGCAGTTCCTTGTTGACCTTTTGTTGGAAGCATTGTGAAGATGAGATGCATTATAACAGTTGAGCATTAATACTTAACAGTAGATGAGACATTTTGTCTCCTAGTTTCCTGCGATCAAAATTTTACTGTCCTTTTCTTGTCCGTTTCATACATTCTGTCTCCACTATGCTGTCCACACAGATAGGATTGGATATGGGACATCTACCTAACCTATAAACTTGTAAAAAGTAACAAACAGTTGTGAGGAATAAGTGTGGAAATCATTTGAAATTGGGCTTGATTATTAAGGGAAATGTTTGTAGTTGAGCAGCAGAATTGAACATTTTACACTTTAATAATGATAAGATGTTTATTCTGCGGGATTCTGCTTATTTTCACTTATTGGATTGATATTAAAATATTATATTAACATAGTGGAAAGGGCCTCAGACTCAACCTGACTGCTCAGACTTGTCTCTTTATCTAATGTGATGAAGACTAAAAAGATCCGATTTGGATCCAGTTTGTTGGTTACAGACTGCTGGACACGTTTAACTGTGAAAGATGTGCTTGATTACTACCCTGTGACATTATGGGATGTTAAAGGCTCATAACAATCTGCCTATGTCAGCTTCAGCTCCATAATGATGATCACATGAATGTCTCTCCCAGTGAATGGTTCGTTATATGGTGCAGGGATCATTTCCGAACAAAATAAATGTGACCAAACCTCAATTTTAAGGACTAACAATGTTACAAAGAAACCTCCAGCTGGAAATATCAAAATACAAGCACTTCCTGTTCCATTCATTCTGACTTTTTACACAGTTTATTGACTTTATAGAATTGTTTATTATGTATTATTATACTTTATATTTATACATCTTTATTAAACTTTCCCAGGCCTCCAAAAGAAAACCCTCCAAAGGCAGTTCTGTGTCATTAACAGTGTCTGTGATAGGAAGTTAGTCATTATAAAGATGAAAAATACACTTTGAATTATACAACAGTTACATTCATAAACAATTAAAACCAGACCTGTTCCCGGTGAATGTTGGTCTCAGGGCTGCCCTATGTTATCGGTTCTGTTCATTACAGAATTTCTAGGTGCAGCCAGGGACCAGAGGGTGTCTGGTTTGGGAACCTCAGGATATCATCTCTGCTGTTTGCAGATGATGTTGTCCTGTTGGCCTTGTCAAACCAGGACCTTTATCATGCACTGGGGCGGTTTGCAGCCGAGTGTGATGCGGCCATGATGAGGTTCAGGACCTCCAAATCCGAGGCCATGAGAAAGGTGGACTCCCCTCTTCAGGTCGGTGGAGAGTCCTTGTCTCAAGTGGAGAAGTTCAAGTATCTCGGGGTCTTGTTCACGAGTGAGGGACGGATGGAGCATGAGATTGATAGTATACTGTATCGGACTGTCATGGTGAAGAGGGAGCTGGGGGGGCAAAGCTCTCGATTTACAGATCAATCTACATTCCCACCCTCACCTATAGTCATGAGATCTGGGTAATGACCAAAAAGACAAATAGTGAATACAAGCGGCCGAAATGAGTTTTCTTTGCAGGGTGGCTGGGCACACCCTTTGAGATTGGTTGAGGTGCTCAGTTACCCGGGAGGAGCTCGGAGTAGAGTTGTTGCTCCTCCACATGAAAAGGAGCCAGCTGAGATGGCTCATGCATCTGTTCCAAAAGCTTCCTGGTCGCCTCCCTCAGGAGATCTTTCAGGCATTTCGTATTGGAAGGAGGCCTAGGACACACTAAAGGGACTATGTCTCTGAGCTGGCCTGGTGTCGCTTCGGGGTCCCCCTAAAACACCTTGAGGAGGTGTGTGTGGATCAGGAAGTCTGGGCATCTCTCCTAAAGGGCAGAGTAGGCTTTTGCAACAGCACACATGTCGCAAATGTCGCTTGGCTCTGGTCGCAAACCGGTTTTGCTGGTATGCTTCTGCACCGTCGGTCTGGAATTTCTAGGGATGCACAGCAGTTTCCCACCGAAGCGCCAGGGGGAGCCTATTCGAGAAATTCGTGAGACCTTCTGCGGCTGGTCATGAGAACTTTGGCGCCGCCTGCGGTAGTGTTTGACCTTCCAAAACAACAATGGCGCGTCTGCAAGATATCATGGTCACAGAGATGGATCTAGAGTTGCTAGACATAAAAGAGGAACAGGTTCAGTTAATGGAGTTAGCATAAAGACAGATTAACCTTTCGACGTAGTTGTCCATTGTAGTTGTTCCCCGGTGTTTTAAAATGGCGCAACCCGCACCGAATCGAGAATGACGACCACACAGACAGCCGGAAAGGCATACCAAGGACCAATTGCGGCTGCTTTTTGTCTGCACAGTTCTGCTTTAGGTCTATGCGGGTTGGCGACCGTCCAACGCGTAGGTAGGATTCTTTTGAGGTGCGCGACAAGGGTTGCAGAGCCTCTGCGTGGGGGCGTGGTCCCGCACAGAGACAGATTTGACGGTCGCACAGGCTATGCGTCAGAAGCATAAATTGGCCTTTAGACTGCTGCCTCCGTGACCGGGCCAAAGATAAAGCAGAATGGATGGATGAAACAATTAAAACCAATTCAGCAACGATTTGGGCCTGAGGGGAACTGTGGAGGCGCATGGCTACTACTTAGGTGGTAATGAGGATTTAATGGAGGAATGTTTATTTTAGCTGGGACTTGATTGTTTATTGGGGAACAAACTCAAGACTTTACTTGGACTCTCCCATGAGGTACTTAAATGATACTGGAACTCTGAGAGAAGGAACTTTTCTGCATTTAACCAACCTGCTGGCCAACAGCATCACACACGATGTGGGAAGGACGCACTACCCTCAACCAGCATTTTGTCATATGTCAGCCTCCAAGAATAGGGAGCCTGGTTTGGCAATGAGTGAAATGCTGGCCCACAGCATTATACCGCCTTCATGAAGGCTGTTTGAATTGACAGGCAGGATATAATACACTTTTCTTTTGGGGATAACCCGCAATTCTGCTGCTTAACACCATAAATGTGGCTATTTTAGTGGAATTAAACAGGCGTTCCAGTGGTGTAGGATTTATTGCAAAAAAGCTTAAATAAAAAAACTAGAAACATGAATTTAATTTCTAACCAGTTCCCCCTGATAAGGCCATATATCCACACTAAACTGTGAGAAAGTTTATGGTACAGAGCTTTAAAACTGAGCTGCCAATGCACATCTAAAAGAAGAACATTTGACAAAAAAATTAATTAATACAGAAATTAGGGTCTTGATGGAAAGTTTTAGTTTGGAGAACTGGTAAAATGTCTAAGCTCTGGATGATTAGAAAACTTTTTAGGAAACTGGTCTTGAAACAAAGAGAGTTTTTTTAATCTTTCAGTGAAAGTTAAGCTCCAGCCTTGTTCTCCATGTCCATCCCCACCACGTCTTTCCATCTATTCCTCCTTCTTCATCTTGCATTGATAAACTGCAGTTCTTATTTGGCAGATCGCAGTAAAATGTCTTTTTTATGTATAAACTGATCTATCTTATTGATTGATCCCAAATCAGAACTGAAGTTTCTGGTTCCATGTGTCGTTTTCCACAATCTGTCCTCTGAGTTATTTACTGATCATTAGACATTCAAATGTAAAATATTTATATATTTTTTATTCAATTATATTTTTTAGTTAATAGATTAAATTACTTATTAATTTAACAAAATTTTAACTGATTGATAGAAATAACTGGGACATGTTTTTCAAATCTGTCCAGTTAGCTTAAGGAGGCACTTGTGGAAAATGTTTACATTTTCTCTCTAATCTGGTTAACCAGACCAAGGCTTAGGTTGGGATTTCGCTGTCCCAGAGTTTAAGCATCTATATTTGATCTAGGTTGGTGTTTGGTTTTGGTTCAGTTTCTATCAAGGTAGGTTCTCGGTAGAAATCAGAGGCAGCTGCTGCTTTCTGAAATGGGGGAGGGTCAGTAGTGTTAATTAAATCCAAACGTCATGTATCGCATGAACACACGTTGAAACACATAAAACACGTCACTAAATGGGTTAAAATAGATGCTGTGAAGCGCTCTGCAATAATAAACTCCAGAAACT